ATGTTTTTTTTTTAATTTTATATATGCAGTATTGGTGTCAAATGAAAGCTTGTAAAAAATTATAAATTTTGATATATCTTTTATGAAAATCGGAGAAAAAATGAAAAAGTTATTGCAATTTGAAGAAAACAGTATTTTTTTATATAATGGGACTCATATGAATAGATGCCACGTTTCTAATAATACAAAGGAGTACCAATGCTTAAAGTTCTTTGGCTTAGTGTTCCATTTTAATCTTTCAATTTGACAAGAAAGGTACGTAGATTTTCTTTTAATTTGTTTCAAAGTTTCATTTGCTGTCTTGAGAGAACGGGAGAGAGGGCACTAATATAATCACTTGTTTCATGGGAGAATAATACGCAGGTTACTGATGATCTGGGGATATACCCGATCGAGTATCACATGGTACTCGATCGGGTATGGCTGAAAAAGGGGGACCGAATCACTACTCGATCGAAGGAGAGTAAATTTTTCAAAAATCCATGTATACCCGATCGGGTACAAATAATATTCCATATTTTTTTATGTTGTAAATGCATGCTATGACTTAATATGTGTTTTTTGAATTTCGATTTAATGGACCAATGCATTTTTAGATGGTACACAATATACTAAAGTGAATTTCGATATAAATATAAATCTATTTCAAACTTTTTAAAATAAACACTAATACACACATATTAGAAATTATACTTATAATGTGTGAAATAAGTTGATAATTGCATATATCAAAGTCAAACAACTCTAATTTTATTCTCCAAATCGTATACATAATTATTTGTATTGTATTTGAAAGACGTTTGAACAAAAAAAATGATTTGTATTTGTATTTATATTCTGATTTATTACAAATAGGTTTGGAATTTGTATGCAAAAGTGTATATATGCGTTACACTTTGAGGGCATTGCTATCTTTTAAAAGTTATTATAGTGTTATTACTACTACTACTACTATTATTATTATTATTATTATTATTATTATTATTGACATTAATATTACCATTATTATTTATCGAATAGATTTGATTAATATTTGAATCGAATACATTGATATTCTTATTTGTATTTGATAAGAACTCGAATCAAATTTAATATTCTTATTTGTATTTGTATTTGAATTTTCCGAATTCGAATCATCTTATACGAATTCGAATCGCGAATCGAGCACAAATTATTTGATTCGTTTACAACCCTACTGTATATTTGCAACCCCCTACCTTTTGCAATTGGTCAACGAATACATGTAATAGATGAAGTACCTATAATTTCATAATTAAGTCCAATTTTTATTAAATTATGAACACAGACCCAATATACATGTATTGGCGAGTATAACTATCGAATACATGGATACGACATCATAGTAAAGTATAGGTGCATTATAGATCCAAGGGAAAACTATCAAATAAGCCCCCTGTACTATACCGAAGAAGTCGATTAGGCCCTCGTACTTTACAAACACTCAATTAAGTCCTCCAACTATTAAAAAACGTCCAATTAAGCCCTTTTGGTGGGTAAGTAACCGATTTCCCGGTTAAACGACGATGATGGCGACGATATGCTCGAACCCCAGCAACGGCGGCTTCCGGGAAACAGGTTACATTTAACCGGGAAACCGGTTACTTACCGATCGAAAGGGCTTAATTGAACGTTTTTTAATAGTTCGAGGACTTAATTGAGTGTTTGTAAAGTACGAGGGCCTAATCGACTTTTTCGGTATAGTACGAGGGTTTATTTGATAGTTTTCCCTAGATCTAAAATACTTTTTGGGGACGTCAATGTTGATGGGGCTTTCCTAGTTTCCTACTTTCCTATTAGAGAATCGAAAATATTGAAACTTTAACAGTTGTCATTGTAGTTTGTACCGATAGATGCAATTGAAATTGGGAGAGAGAAAATGAGTACTAAACTATGTCTACACGGAAATAGGAAAAATTCACGAAATATGAGTAAAACGTTTTGAAATTTAAAAATAGGATTGTCATGTTTTATTCGCTAAATAAGAGTAATTATTGTCAAGTATAGAAAATATTGTCATGTTTAAAGTATTATAATGCTAAAGCATGACAGTAATTACTTCTATTTCAGGAATTGTAGACCGCTTTTACTCACATTTAAGGCAATTTCCCGTGATATCACCCGTCAATATGTATTTTCCCATTACACATTTTCAAGTTTACAGTAATTGGGTAAAAATAGAGTTATTCTAGCTTTCAATCATAGGCTAGGACAAAAATATGCTTTTATTGACCTTAAGTGCTTGCTAAAGTAAAGACATTACAAAATAAAAATAATAATGATTGAGAAAATGGTATATATTTTCTACTCTCTTTCGAGAAAATGCTTTATATACAGGCTTGGCTTGAACTCCTTGAAGTATATCACATTCTGCAACCATCAAGATATATATATATATATATATATATATATATATATATATATATATATATATATATATATATATATATAATATGTATAGCTCTCTTCATTGCTTCAGCATAGGACTGAAGTGAGTGAATCAATCTGCAAAAGGCTACATGCATACAGTTCAGCATCAGGTTTCCCCTAGAGTTCCTTTAAACGTTTCATTGATGAACTGATGATTTCTCCTTTAAATTAACATTCCAACTGAGAATATTATCAAGGAAGAAGCTATCTAGCTAGCTCATTGAAGCGTTTGGAGGAACACTTGGAGTTGCTTGATCTATATGTAGTAATGTAGATGATTTCATTTCATTTTAAGCACACATTTTTTGAGTATGTTGATCAATTATACACAACTAAATCTATTGGTTTCATATTGGGAAATTCCCAAAGCATGAGTAAAATTAAAACAATATAAAATTCTTAAAAATGGGTATTATGTTTTTTCTTGAACAGAATTAATTCATTATATTGCATAAAGTTCTACTACTGTGTTTGGAATTAATAGATATTAAATATGGACGTATACTGCCCTAATTGAAATTGTTTCGAAACATGCAGTAATTACATGTACTCGTATTTAATTTTAGTGAATAAAAAACGTGTTCATATTTTAAAATTTCAAAGCTTTTTTACTCCAATTTAGGTAACGTTCTTATTTATAGTTACAAGTATATGGATGTTTACTACAATGGCTCGTAAACACAATTGTGCAGCAACGCTAGCTTATTTGGGACAACCAAATAAGAAATGATGGCTAATTATATAGGGGCGAAAGGAGTGTATAAGGGTTTTGTTTTTAAAGACTCTATTTAATCCCTGTGATTTTATTTATGTGAGAACCGAAAATATCATTTGTATGAAATTGTTATTGTTCCTGTGCAAATGATTTTTCTGTAATATTTGTATGAAATTAGACATAGTATGTATCTAGCCCGAGTATGTATCACTGATCAACATAGTTAATATACATACTTAATTTTTTCGGTATAATTTACATCAGATACAACTAATATTTTACTGCGGATGCATTCACTAAAAATTATACTTCGTATTATTATTCACTCATTTGCAACTACGCTAGTAATAATGTTCTTAGTCCTCTCTGGTTTGGTTTGAATTGGTCTAATCTAATCCGATAGATGTCTCTTATATGTGTATTTTACAACTGTCAAAGTGTAGTCTGATTTAGTCTGATATGGTTTGTTTAAGTTTGTTCCGATCCGGACTGTGACTGGAACTAATCCTAGGGGTGGGCATGAAACCCGAACCGGTACCGAACCGTCCCGTAATGGTACCGAACTGAATACCGGATATTTAAACGGTTCAATAGATTTTTATCTCGTACCGAAACTGTACCGTTTAAAACGGGCACGAGACCGGTCCTAGATTTTGAGAAGCGAAAAATACCGGAATGAACCGTTTGTAAATAATGCATTTGAATTTTTTATATTTTTTCTATATCAGTAGATCTAGACCAACAATTTTATACCCCAAGTATGTATTCATGTGTCCCTAAGATATCTAAAATGTGTTTATATACTCCGTATATTGTTAGTTTTTCTTTTTAGATAAATTTATGTTATATATTGGTATGTATCGCAAGAATATTAAAATTTTAGAAATCATTAATGATTATTTATTTCTAGTAATGTAGTGTACATGACTTTTTGTTGTATCATGTTTGTGCATTTTTTACAACTTAATTAATATGGTTTAAATCTTAGCTCTCAAGGTTCAACTATAAATTAAATTAGAACAACAACAACAACAACAACATCCAAGCCTTAATCCCAAAAGAATTTGAGGTCGGCTAACATGAATCGATCTAGTAAATTAAATTAGAACTACGGAGTAATATTTAACCTAGAACGAAGATGAAGAACGTTAAAAATTTCTATTATATTCAACAATTTGATGATATTCAATTCGTCTTTATATTTTCACATGAACTTAGTAAATTAAAATTGATATTTATCTCGCGCGTCATCGTTTTGCTATACTTTTTCTTACTTGTGTTGCACTATTTGTGTATTTGTGAATTTTAGTACTAGGTATGCAATTTCTTGTACTTATTTCAAAATTTCATGTGAGTTTGTTGGCGTGATGATATCTACTAATTGAAAGATCTATTCAAAAATTTTAGCATGTGTTTGCCTCTTCTACTGAGCTTATAAGATTTGTCTCATCATTTTACTTCCTATTTTTATTGTATGATATTGCCTCACGCCATAAAGATGCCTTTACTAAGCAAGTCATATTTGTTGAGGAAAATTCCTGAAATAGGAGTAAAAAAGTTTGAAAATTACAAAATAGAACTGACATGTTTTTATTCCCAAAATAGGAGTAATTACGGTCAAGTTTGGAAAATACTGTTATGTTTAAAGTCTGTTAGTGCCAAAACATGGTAGTAATTAGTCTTATTTTGGAAATAAAAATATGATAGTCCTATTTTGAAATATACAAACGGTTTTAGTCCTATTTTGGGTAATTTCTCTATTTCTTTTACACAATTCCAGACTAATTTATTTATTTATGTACACAGCTTCGAGTGCCAAATCTGTGTAGTCAAGAGGAGGACTCCAAGGAAAACATTTCCAAGAAATCTTCACAGAGGTTTTCCCGTATCACTTCAGTCCTCCAAATGGAGGAAGATATCAAAGAACTCACCAAGAGATGGGTGTCACCAGAGGACCAACAAGTATTAGGGTCTCTCGAAGACCCCGATTTAGTGGGAGGTATAATGCGTTGCTGGACTGTGGTTAGCATCTCTCCCTCACACTCATTCTGTCATTCACTCTCTATTCAACCTTGATTGAACACGCCATTAATACTTTGTCCCTGACTTTTTTGCAGGCTTTACTCCATTTCTTACAATTTTATCAAAGGAGTAACCAGAAGATGGAGTTCCACCAGAAAAGGATTGTCGAACTGGAGAAAGAAAACACAGCCCTCTTCGGCAAGATTGAGGAGTACAGGGAGCAAATTGAGGCATGGAAACATAAGGCTCAAACTTCTGCAATCGAGGCTGTGAGTGCTTTCAAAAAGTCCCATGAGTATGCCCAAGCCATGGAAGACGCAGGGAGGGCCCGGATGAAAGACATTGCACATGAGTGGCTGAAGGCTGAAGAGGGCCGGGAGAAGAGCTCTGGACAAACTCCCCCTTCCACTCAAAACTGATACGGAGTATGATATTGTCTTACAACTAACCGGAATAGAACTACTCCTTATTAGTTTTAGTTTTGACAGTTGGGTAAATGCACTTGTGGCTCATGCGATTAACTTTGATCAAAAGTTGATTTTTGATTTTTGAAACATGATCTTGCCACATATGCATTTTATAAGACTAGTATTTTTGTACATTTAATTCTTTTTGTACATATAGCATGGTCTCTTAAAGGCTAGCCTTTTTTGTACACATGGCTTTGTTCTTTTTTTTTTGATACATCGGAAAGGTCCCATGGGCCATGGCTTTGTTCTTTACCAATACGGTTTACGTGATATGTATTGGTTAGGCTTGGACTCGGTGCGGGCAACCCGGCCCGGGAACCGGCCCAGCCGCTACTGTGCGGGACCGGTCCGGCCCGGGAAACCGGGTCCAGTTCCGGTTCCGGTTCGAGCCTAGGCCCGGGGGGTCTACCGGTTCCGGGCACGGGTAAGGAAAAAGGGGAACCGCCCTGGCCGGGCCGGGCCTGGTTCGGGCCTTTTTTTATTTATTTTTTGATTTTTTTTGGTTTGGGCTGGGGTTAGTTGGGCTGGGCTGGGTATTTCCGAGGGGTTTGGTGGGTTGGGGGGGGATGGGGGGTGGGTAGTGAAATAAATATGAATAAAAAAAAATCAACCGGAACCGGCCCGGCCCGGAACCGGTCAAGACCCGGGCCGGTCTCGGGCCTATGGATATGGAATCGGCGGCCCGGCTCGAGTCCAAGCCTAGTATTGGTGCATAATTGGTGCATTGGTGATGATGTGGCAAATAATGAAAACGATCTATGTGATATGTATGCCAAGCAGGGATGGATTTAAGGGGGGGCGGGGGGCGATCGCCCCCTTGGACTTTCAAATTTTTCTACAATATATTAATATTTTCATAAAATTTTTATACTTTAATTAGATATATATGTGTTCGCACCCCTTAACTTTTAGAAGTATATAGCCTTACATTATGTAATACTTAATTGGAGATTTAAAATATGAAACATCTAAAATAATTTACATAACTTAAGCAAATTAAAAATAGAACATCTCATTGTTCAAGACTTAGGATACCTATTATATAAAAATTCAAAGTTTTGAAAAGTTTAATTATCTTTAATTTATTAGATAATTATTACTCGATTTGTAAAATATCAAACAATATTATATACGAGACACACTAGTTAAACAATTTTTCGATCATAAGAAATGAATCTAAAATTACACAATTCGTTTACTTCTTACTCTTTAAAAATAATTTATTGCATAGATAATAAATTTTAACTTATTTTACCACAACAACATCCAAGCCTTAATCCCAAAAGAATTTGGGGTTGGCTAACATGAATCGATCTATGATATCGATGCCAAACTAATCAATTATTCACTTTTATATCATACATAGTATACATAAAATTGAAAAAGTGAAAACAAAAAATGCACATGAGGAAAAATCGGATATAGAGTACGTGCCTCATGATTCGAGAAGAGATGATTACCTTAGAGACAACTAAATGGGAAGGTCTTGAAACGTTAAAAAATGAAGATGATAACTCAATGAAAAGAGGAGAAAATAATGGGGAATGAGGTAAGAGAATAGCAAAGAGCCGATGGGAGAAATAAAGGGAGGGTGTGACATGAAAGATGTTTGGAAGGATAACAAATGATAAAAAATAGAAAGGTTTTTATATGGGGTAACTACTACCTATAGCATTTTTTATTGTGAAATCCAACGGGAAGTGGAAATCATCCAAAACCAGTGCGACGTGCAACTCGAGAGGTCATTTTGGAATTTGAATCCTCTCCAGTCAATTATGCAGAGAGATAGGTGGGTGAGTAAGATAAAAAGGTAAAGATAGATAAGAAATAAAAAAGAAATTTTCTAGATAAGAAAAAATGGAGAGAAAAAAATGGAGAGAGTTGAACCAGGGTTTTGAACCAGGGTTTTGAAGCAAAGTTATGAAGTCGGAACAACAAGCACATTTAATTTTCTGCTTTAAATCGCTCCAAGGCTCGTCGTTTCCACTCTGCAAACCACTTTCGTTTTCGTCGAGTTCTTCCATAGCTCGATTTTTTTCCATACATCGAGCTTTCCGATATACTGATACGGTTTTGAGGAAATAAAGTCATGGCCAGAAAAGGCGAAGGAGCGGCCATCGGAATCGACTTGGGTACGACGTCCTCCTGCGTTGCAGTCTTGCAACCCGGACGCTGTGTAGAGATCATAGCTAACGACAACGGGAGCAGAAGAACGCCGTGTTGTGTCGCGTTCACGGACACTGAGCTTTTGATTGGGGATGCCGCCAGGAACCAAATCTCCATGAACCCCGTTAACACAGTTTTTGGTACGTATTTGCCATGTTTATCTGTGGATATATTCTTCTAGTTCCATGCCCATGCTTCAACAAAATTCAGTGTATATGACTATACGACTACAACACCCTTAAATCTGCAGACCAGCTGATTTATTTGATGGGTTCTGATCGTGATTTGAAAATTATCTTCTTTAATTTTTTTAGATGCTAAACGACTGATTGGGAGGAAATATAGTGACCCATCAGTGCAGAGTGATAAGAAGTTATGGCCTTTCAAGGTAATTGCCGGACCTTGTGACAAGCCAATGATAGTAGTGACGCACAAGGGTGAGGAGAAGCAATATTCTCCCGAGGAAATCTCATCTTTGGTTTTAAGAAAGATGAAGGAGATTGCAGAGGGTTATCTAGGAACCCCGATCAGGAATGCAGTGGTCACTGCTCCTGCTTATTTCAATGAGTCCCAACGCCAGGCTACTAAGGATGCTGCAGTTATCTCTGGCCTCAATGTCATGGGCATTATCAGCGAACCCACTGCAGCTGCTATTGCACTTGGGTTGGGCAAGAAAGAAGGCACGTGCTGGAAGAAGAACGTGCTCATCTTTGATCTGGGCGGTGTTACATTTGATGTATCATTGGTCAAAATTGATGAGAGTTCCTGTGAGATCATTGCTGTTGAAGGTGACCCTCATCTAGGGGGTGTAGATTTCAATACCATAATGGTAAACCACTTTGTCCAGGAGTTCAAAAAGAAGCACAAGAAGGATATCAGTAGAAACCCAAAGGCATTGAGGAGGAGGACAGCATGCGAGAGGGCGAAGATGATGTTGTCTTCTCATGCTGAGACTACCATTGTACTTGATTCATTGATCCAAGGCATTGGTTTTTGCTCAAGCATGACAAGGGCACTGTTTGAGGAACTGAACAAGGACTTGTTCGGCAAGTGTATGGACCTTGTTAAAAAGTGCTTGAGAGATGTTGGGTTGGATAAGAGAGATGTTGATGATGTTGTCCTTGTGGGTGGATCAACTAGGATTCCTAAGGTGCAGGAATTGCTTCAGGAGTTCTTCGAGGGCAAAAAGGTCTGCACTAATCTCAACCCAGATGAATTGGTTGCCAGTGGTGCTGCTTTGTATGCTGCATTTCTTAGCAGAAATGGAAACTACAAGGTTTTTGTGTGTTCCTACTTAATGCTACTCTCTCTATCCCATAAATCTTGGCCAAATAGACTTTTCTTCGTTAATAAGAGTAGAGTAATGTCTGGACAATGATTTTTGTGATTATATTTGTAAGAAATTTTTAAATTTTATATTTTATGAAAGTACTTTTAACAAATAATATTTTCATATACTTTTCGTATTTTAAATCATTTCATGTTGAAAATATTGTTTGGTCATATGTGACAACTATCATTCACCAAAAAAGTCAAAATGAGCAAGTTCTTTTATAGGATGGGGGAATGTTTAAATTTACTAGGACTAGTAATAAGGATCAGTTATAATTTCGACCAACTCTTATGCGCAGTTTGAAGTGCCAATGTGGTCTCGACATAATGACAATGTCAAGGATGGCATAGAAATGTCTTCCACGAAATCCAATACCAGCTCGTCCTCCCATTCCTCTGACCACAAAAGGAAAGACAATGATACCCTGGATTTCTCAAAGAAGAGCTTTGACTGTGTCCTGCATGGAGAAGCTCTAACCTCCTCTATGCTCCAGGGTGGTGTTGATTTTAAGGAGTTCGCTAAGGGATGGATGCCCCCACAGGACCAGCAACTGTTAGGGTCTCTCAAACTTCCCACTTTACAGGAAGGTATAATGCGCCGAAGTGTTGAGGTTTGCATTTCTTTCTCCATCCCTCTGTCTCTTAAACCTTTAATATAACTTTTGATCAATCTCCTCCCATCACTGACATGTTTATTCAGGCTTTGTTCTGGTTCATGGAATTATCTGAAAGGAACAACCAGGATATGGAGCTCCACCTGAAAAGGATTTCGCAGTTGGAGCAGGACAACAAAGACCTTGTAACTAACATTCAGATGAAACAGCAGGGGATGGAGGACTACAAGGAGCAGATGAACATCTGGAGAGAACAGGCAGAGGCCTCTAGGACCGAGGTGTTGAAGAGCAACCGTGAGATGGAGTCTCAACGTAAAAGAATTGTGATTTTGGAAAAGGAAAATAAGAGTCTCCTAGGTAAGATGGATAGGAAATTGAGGGAGGTTATGGAAGCCAAAAACTCGGTGGCAGAAGGATACAATGATCAGATGAAGAAGTTGTTGGAGCAGGATCGGGCGATGGAGAACCAACGGAAAAGGATTGTTCAGTTGGAGCAGGACAACCGAGGCCTCTTACTCAAGATGAAGTTGAAACAGATGGAGGTTAAGGAAGCCGAAAGATTGGCCCGGACCTCTGCAACAGAGGCTGTGAATGCTTTCAAAATGTCTAGCGATTATAATCAGGGGATAGAGGACGCAGCGAGGGCTCGGTTAGAAAAAATCGCTTCAGAATTGCTGAAAATAGGAGGGGGCCGGTAGAAGATCTGTGGAAAAACATTTTTATCCCAAGGAAGTTGGAATCCAAAGTAAACATTAATTAGAAAATGTGAGGTGCAACCTTTCATCTACTGACCATGTAAGAAGAATACATCAAATTCCATTTCAACATCACTGTTGTTAATGACAGTTAGAATTAATGATCCAATTTTGTGTTTGCTACATCATTAAGTTGACCATTCACTCTCATCATGACAACATCAACATGTTGATGCTTTGGATGTATATAAGTTTCTTTTGGAAATCAGTGTTTCTTAGAAGTCTATGGATTTTAGAAATCTAGATGTATTCAATTAGGACTTTTAAAAGTCCATAAAAGTACGGGTGTATTCAATTAGGATTTCTAAAAGTCAATAAAAGTACGGGTGTATTCAAAATATTAACAAATCTTGTGGAATTACAAAATAATGGATTTTCATGGACTTTAGACCTAATCGTATATATAGTCCTTCTCATGATTGTCTCGTGCTTTCCCAAGAGATTTCACGCAGACTTTCTCCTTGGGTCTTCTCCTCTTGCTCGCCTCGCCAAGAACAACCGTCTCATCAAGAAGAAAAACTCCAAGTAAGTTACTCTTTTCTGAATTGCTTATCCATATTTGTTCGTTGTTATTTTTGTACGGAGTAGAATTGCTTCTTCCACCATGTTTCAAACTTCTAGGCAAATCTGCAAATAGACTTGGTAGGTATTATATTTTTTTTGCTTTAGAAATCAGAGTATATAGAGGTTACATATTTGTTAATGTTAGGCAATTTTATTCATCCAGTATTTGTTAAAGCATAACACTTTATCCAACTAATACGTTTGTTTTAAATGAAGAGTAATTGGAGTTGCCTCTTCTTTACACAATAGCAGCTGCAGGTAGGAGTTTTTTTCTTTCGTTTTTGGTCAATTAGCCGCAGAGCAGGTTTCTTCCTTTTCCTATGCAAGCAGCCGTAGCAGCAATCAAGAATAATGTGCTGCACTTAAGTTTGTAGACACTCTTGTTCATTTTTTATGCGTTTACCTCTGTATGTATAAGTGTGTTGTAGTTAAGTTTGTAGACAATATAATATGTGTTCAAAAACTTAATATAGTTTATCTTTGAAAAGATCAAGGGGTATGAGTTTGTGTTTATTGTTTGTGTGATTGGTTTTGCATGTCTTATAGATGGGTGATTCACAAGGTAATGCCAAAAAAAGATTATAAAACTTGGACCATAGAAGAGAGTAATGTCTTGCTTCAGCTAATGGTTGAAAGTGCCAAACTTGGCCTTCGTGATATCAATGGAGTGATAAGTAAACAAATGGTAGAGACCAGACTCCTTCCTAAACTTAAGCAAAAGCTTGGTTATGAAATTAGTTTTAATCATTACCAAAGTAGAGTCAGATGGTTTAAAAAACAATACTCCAATTACTCTCAACTTATGCGGCACAAATCTGGATTCGAATGGGATGCGGCCACAAAGAAATTCACCGCTTCCGAAGAAGTATGGGCTGACTACCTGAAGGTGGGCATTTTTTATTCATTTGTGTGTCTATTTTATAACATCATAATAACAAAGTTTATATTTTTTTTATATCTGTCACATAAAGAACACGCACACCTTCGGTCAGAAACTTGTTGTCCGGACTATGAGGATCTGAGAATCACAGTGGGGAATGGAACTGCAACTGGGATGGGTGCAATTGGTCTTGGTGAAAATACTGACGCTACAGTGTTAGGAGTAGATGATGAATCAGGTGGAATTGGTGGCATTGATGGATTATTTTTTGATCCAAATACTTACATGTTCACACCGAGTGAAACTATAGAGGACTCATCATATCTTCCACAAGATGGTGGTACAAATATAGAGGATCCACCTTCATCAAGCAATAGAGCTAAAGGAAAAAGGGGTAGAAATGATTTTGAGAACAATGGAAGAACTTTGATTTACAATTCATATATGTGCTTAGTGGTTGGGAGAGTTCTGCCCATGATTCAAAAGTGTTAAATGATGCAATTTCAAGACCAAATGGTCTTAAAGTGCCACCAGGTACACTTTAACATGGTTATCCAAATCTTTGTTACCAATTACTTATTGCATTGAATGATAGATTAATTGTGTAATGATTCAATGTCTAGGAAAATATTATTTGGGGGGTTGTGGATTTGCAAATCGGTGTCAATTTTTAGCTCCATTCCGAGGTACTCGGTATCATCTAAAGGATTTTGGTGGTGAAGGAAATCACCCTATTAATGTGGTTGAACTATTCAATCTTCGTCATGCTTCTTTAAGGAATGTGATTGAACGCATATTTGGAATATTCAAGTCACGCTTCACAATCTTCAAAACACCACCTCCTTTCTCTTATAAAACACAAGCAGAATTAGTTTTGGCATGTGCAGGAGTACATAATTTTCTTCGACGTGAATGTCGATCTGATGAATTTCCTCCGGATCCAGAAGAAGACCCACCTAGTGATGATGAGGACAATCTTGAATGGGATAACTTTCAGACACAAGATCAACAGAGGGAAAAGGCCAATGAATGGAGGATGAATCTTGCTACTCAAATGTGGGCAGCTGCAGAAAATGAATAATTGTGATCCATAGTTCAATAGCACAAGACGTTTGTTCCCATTTTGCGTGTTGATGACTTTATTTTTTTTTCTTATATTTTTTTAATGCTTATGCTTCACCTCATTCGGAATAGAGAACATTAGCTATTATATTTGTCATATTTTCTATGTAACGAATCTTATTTATTAAAGTTTGATCTAGTTGGATCTGGTCTTAAATAAGTCTAAGTAAAAGTCTATGGATTTATTGAAATCCATAGAAGTCATTCATTTAAAAGTCATTCATTTTAAAAGTTCACGGATTTAAAAGTCTACGGATTTAAAAGTCAGCGGATTGAAAGTCTATGGATTTAAAAGTCCATAGACTTTTTTAGAAGTCCATAGACTTTTTTAGAAGTTCATGGATTAAAAAAAAGTCCACCACAATCCATATTCAATACACCCCCTTCTTTTAACAAAATTAGACATTTCAAGCTTTGAGTTTATATTTTTTCGATATGTTAATACCATGACTTCTTTGTAGAGTTAAATACTCAAATAGGAAAAGGCCCAATAGTAAAATTGTGAAATGCATTAAAGGCCCAATAGTAAAATTGTTATTACAATATAAAGACACATAATATGATAATAATAGTTGTACACAATAAAAGATTCCTAAGAGAGAGGGAAAATAGGTACATTTTAGACAAAATGAATGTGAAACATAGGGAGGCGGGGAAGTACAAGGAGCAGATGGAGAAGTGGAAAGAGAAGGCTCAGACCTCAGCAATTGAGGCTGTGAGAACTTTCATAAAGTCCCATGAGCATGCCCAAGCCATGTAAGAAGTGGAAAGGGCTCAGATGAAAGACATCGTACTTGTGTGGCTGAAGACTGAAGATGTTTCCTGGATTAGAGCCCTGGAAAACTCCCCCTCCCAATAAAAGTCAAAAGGGTGATGTCATATGTTGTGAAATATGATCTTGCCACATACGGAGTATGTATTTTGTAATAGTAGTCTTTCTAATACAGTTGTACCCATTGTTCTAAAACTCGCTAGGTGCTAGTCGGGCGGTTGAGGAGCGTCTAGCACCTAGGCGGCCGACTAGACTGATTTTTTGGCCGGCTAGACCGATTTTTTGACCGACTAGACCGATTAGTGCTCTACCGTTAGGGCGACTAGGCCGATTAATCGGTCCGACTAGGCCGATTTTTAGAACAATGGTTGTACCTATAGGCTATAGCACAGTCCTTTACTATGTATGCATTTTGCAAGACAACTGTCTACATGAGATAAAACTAGTCTTACAAATGCATGTGTGGCAAAAAGAATAAACTTTTTTGTATCTATAACATGGTATTTTATGACGCATGCATTTTGTAAGAATAGTCTTTTTGCCACGTACTCATTTGGTAAGGCTACTCTTTTTGTCACATGCATTTTGCATTTTGTACAACTCCAAACAAGCCCTCAGACATTGTCTGCTTATTTGTTTGTATGTGATGTATTTGACCTTTTATTATACTCCATACATATGAAGCTGGAGAATTTCGACATAGTGTGCTTAAAGAGGTAACTAAAATTACAGTCTCTATTACATCACCAAAACCTGTCTGAATGTTACTAATTATCACTATCAGTCTATCATATCACATCACATCACAAACAACCGATATTATATTTCCATGAATCTTAAGGTTTTTGTTTTCCATGGAAAGAGTGTGTTTTGCCCCATTGCTGAAGGAAGCCTCACAGCTATCACTGTCTTTTTGCACAGTCGAGGCAGCTGAGGCGACATCATTCTTGACATCAGGTGCCGGGCGAGAACCCAGAAGCTGAGATGCAGCGTTCAGAGCTTCCACAGCCGCACTATAGAAATTGGAACACTGAAAGTAAGCCACAAGGTTAGGATCATTTGGCTGGTTCATATAACTCTTGATTTTATCGGTCGTCCCCAATGCATTATTGGCTGCTTGCGAGACTGCCGTTTTGAGAAGATCGGTTGACGATTTGGAAGGACTAGCAGCCAGAACTCGAATGCAGAAACTTGGGTCTATGCTTTTAGCACACAGAGCTTGTATGGTTTGCTCACCTGTGTTTGGTTTCACAAAGAAGAGAAGGCTTAGGAATATCAGAGAGGGTAAACAGATTGAAAAGTTGGCCATTGTTTTCTGTGGGGATCTTGAGATTTGAGATTTAATATTATATACACAGTAAAATGTCAGAGTAGGGTGGATTGAATGCTATGCAAGTATGCATGGAAAGGAATTAAGTTTGGGATAGATATTCAGCCAAATAAAGGAGTATCACTTTCTTTATGGAATGTTTATCTGCCATTTTCTGCTTTCTTGTAACCGTTTTACCATATTTGTATTTAATTATTTCATTTTTTATTTTGTTTTATGCGTAGTAATAATTTAGGTTAACGGGAAATCCGCTGTTCCTATCGAACGAGATGGGCGGGCATGGACGGCGGGTACTTAAGAGAAGACATATGTCACTATCACCAAAATTAGGCCAAATTGCTATTTGTTCCGTATTTTAAAACTTTATCAAGTTTGACTCACACGAGAATTAATAAAGTAAAAATTATATAGTTGAGCTTTGTACAGAGGAAAGAAACATAACTTAAATCACAAATTCTTTTCTTAAAAGGGAAAGTGACAAAGTTAGACATTCCAAAAAGAAAAGTTGGCAAAGTTTTAAAAGACGGAGGGAGTATATTATTAGCTCTTGTGTTTTCTAAATCATACTCAACTTCATGTCATGTCTATACTGCATACTCCTTCCGGTCTTTAATTAACTTTACACTTTCCTTTTTGGATCGTCTCATATTAAACTTTACACTTCCTTATTTGCCTTATTTGTCAAACAAATGTACACCAAACAGTTCAAAACAGTGTCAAACAGTGCCAAACAATATCAAACAGTGTACTCTACAGTAAAGTCAAATTTCTTTCCTTAATATGTGTGAAGTCAAAGTGTAAACTTCATTATGAATTGGATGGAGTACTTATAATAAAGTGATCGACAAGAGTGTGAGAATCGAGAGTGACAAGAGTGTGAGAATCTAGAGTAAATTGTAAAATGATGAAATGATAGGAGTCACATTGTTGGTCCTAAAACATACCTCAACGGACACATTTTTTTCTTGAAAAAATATGAAATTTATTTTGAATCGGGTCCAAAGAGAAATTTGAATTTTATTTCAGAATTGAAATAAATTATGAAGTTATACTGAATATTGAATGATTATATATTACAAACCATTTAAAGGTTATAAGTGTCAGAACAATCATGGAAAATTTTATTTTTGGAATTTATAGGATATTAAATGACTTCACGTCTACACATACATGTTTATTTCTTACTGCGCATAAAACAATCATATACCACCACTAAAAACTGAAATGGACAATGATCGATTATATCACTACTTGAGTTCTTATTTTTCTATACAATGATCAAATCTATCTCTTTAAATTTCAGTCTTAACCACTAACGTTTTTCCAAAATTTCGATCCAAACATGAAGGCGATAGGTGTAGCTGAACATAAAATGATAGAACTATATCTTTGAATACAATTCTATAATTCTACAATTCTATGAATAATGTTAGCGGTATAACTGTCATAGAAAAAATGTTGATGTTTGTTTATGTATTAAACTATTGTACTCCCTGCTTACTTCACCGCTCAGTCGCAAGGAAAGGAGTGAAGGAACCCTTCCGTTTACACAAGATGGTATTCTCCCCCGTTAATTTGACATCTAAGAGATTCATTGTATACTCCAAAGTCCAACCATTTTCTCCAGGTCACCTCCGTTAATATCACATCGCAGACCATCCAATATTTTCCCAGTCTCTTCAGTCACTATGGATACGATAAGGCCGATGGTCTTGATTCTACGGCAACCGATCGAGGGAAAGAAACATTGCGCAGCCTTCTGCATCATTTGCGACTCCTAGGTAAGGCAAATATGGAACTTCACGAGGGCGCCAACGATTGCAGCACGAAAGTAATCAGCTCTTGGTACGTTGTCTTCCCCCGTAAGTAATTTGGAATAGTTGTATCTCCCCCTTTATGGATGGTGGAGAACCTACCAGTGCAGATTTTTAGCCTGGCGATTGTAAATTTGATGGTTTGGAATTCAATCAAATATTTCCATTTTGGTTAATTTTTTTGTTTATAGAATGAATGTGGTGCTCTAAGGAAAATGTAGATTACAAGTAAGTTTCTTTCAACCTCAACAAACTCTACGTGTTCATTGTATACTAGATCTCATAACCAATGCTATTGAGTGCAAAATATTCTCAGATTAAAAAAAGAAAATGGATGAGCTTTTACAATCTCTAATCAATTAAACAATCTTTATTGAATCTTTGGTGCTTATGAAGTACTACATATAATTCTTTGAAAACAAACAATGCATTTCTAAAAAAACATTTCTTAGCGTTGGGTATTTACTATACGAGGTAATCTACTGTTAGCGTTGGATATCTTAGGTTCCTTATTTTGAGTTTTGAATTCAATGTTGGGCAGTTGAGCAAAATTAGAGTTTTTTGGTGAGTCCATTCTGTTTGTAAAAATGTTTAAGTGAGACAAACCTGTCAAGAGGTGTTCATTTAAGTATTATGTACTGTAGAACTTAATAATACATGCCAAACCTATCAACATTAGGTACTAATAACAAGTGCTTCTTGGTGGTAGTGTTTCCTCCAGAAAGAAGGAGAGGTGGAGATGCATTTGGGTCCAATGATCGAGTTCTTACCCAACTCATGTCTGGAGTAGATGTCGTGACAACAAAGAACACCATTTTTATTATTGCAGCTAAAACTAGACCTGATATATTGGAGTTGGAGAATAGTGATAGGTGAGTGCCTTATAATAATAAGTCTACACATCAATCCTATTAGTAGCAATGAGCAATAAGGTTTTCAAATTTTAGATAAAGGTTTGAAGAGTTGGACTTATGCTGTTGGGAATCCTTGGTTACATGTTTGTGTTCTCAAGTTCCTCTTGTTGAGTTTGCACAAATGATGAGATTCACATGTTTAAGTCATGCTAATTTATGAAATAGTAAAAATTATTTATCACATTCAAAGGGTGCTGGAAAGAGGCTTATCATAACCCTTTGACCCATTACTTTTTTTTTCTTATAGCAGCCAGCCAGCCTCCCTGTGAGACCATGTTCTCTATCCCTATGAGACCATGTTTTCTAATAGTAGATTGCCCTTGTATAGAGTGTTGTAGTGTTGCGATTAATGGCATTTAATAAACTAAAGTTTACAACCATGTATGCTGCTAAGGTTTAAGTATTGTGATGTTCTTTAAATTGTAAATCAGTTAGGCTATTTCCAGGTTACATATTATTGTCTTTATATGTTACACTTTACTGCAATAGTGGCTAGCCATGCTTAGAGGATTGAAAAGGTGATCTTTACTAGGTACTAGGTTCAACATGTTACGAAATTACAACTTTGGTTTTTGTAGAAATAAATAAACTATGTTCAAGTTCTTTAATTGAACATAGTTTAAAGCAACCAATTAGTAAATTGACTAGCTGGTTCAATTAGTCAATCAATTCCCTAGATAAATTCATCAAAGAAGTAATCCCTTAAAGCATTTTTTTATGGAAAATCTGAACAGAAGGATGGTTTGGCTATAGTAAGGGTTGGGCACATCAGAGAAATAACAAAACTATGCTCATGTTATTTAATGAAATGAACATAGTCAACCACTTTAGATTGACCAGTGTGAAACAATTCAGAAATGATCAAATTAACTGATTGACTGATTGAATGAATCATTAAATCAAATACTAAATAAATTAATCAAATAATTCACCGTATAAAGAATTTAGTTTGTATGTTGTTGTATGTATAGGGCTTGTCTTTTCCCTGGTAATAAAAGACGGTCAAATAGCACCTGAAGTGTTGTGGTGTTTATGGTTTACACAAGGTTAGAGTTTTGATCATTGTTAAGTACTAGGTTTGCCCAATTAGGTATTATTACTAGGTTCGACCAATTAGGAATGACTACTTTAGCTTAGTTGGACAAGAAAAAACAGTATGTGCGTGTTCTTTAAAGTGAAATATAGTTGAAGTGTAATATCTTCTTAACAAAGAAATAGGAAAACTTACTCTTTCAAATTAAATTTGCTAGCTTTATGGGAGTTGTTTTAGTTTTTGCTCCTAATAGTTTAACATTCATATGAAAAACTACATTTTTAACCTCTTCAGTGCTTTTCAAGTGTTTTTGTTATAAAATTACAGACCATTTTGTCAAAGATAAGGAACAAAATTCCTACATACTACTGCCAAAGATAACAAACAAAATTCCTTTTACCTTTGAAGTTCAGGATATGAATGGTAAAACCACTTAAGGTTGTGATATTATAAAGGATCCAATTACTTCTTATCTTGATGAGATTTTCAGTAATGAACTTTACCCGATAAATCTAAACATTCTATGTAGTAGATTCTATTCCTTTATCATTTCTAAAGAAGAGAATGAGAGAATATCGGTACTCACAAGGGTGAAGACAAGTAAAAGCAGTCTGTTCATGTTCTTAAAGTGAAATAAAGTTTAGGTGAAATAAATACTTACAAAAAAGGAAAACTTGTTATTTCATATGAAATTTGCCGGATTTATTGGTTTTTTATAACTTTCTCCTCCTAATAGTTTAACATACATATAAAAAAAATATGTTTTTAATCTCTTTATCACTTCTCAAGTGTTTTTGTTATAATGTTACAGCCCATTTTTGCTAAGCACATTACATTACACTATCTTTTTATTATAGCTTAGTTTAAAAAATATTGCCTGGGGTATGACTAGGATCAGATCACACTTAGACTCTTTGTATTTCCCCCCTCATTCCCCACCAAGGGTTCCAACCACAATATGCATTTCATGAGTTATCGGAAAAGAGTTTTTGGAGGATGTTTGATGCAGGGCTCTATGAGCATTGCAGGCACAAGTATAAAATCATAGGAACCTTCATGAGTGTGTATTACAACTCAAAGAAGGGAAGGAAGACAGAGAAGGAAGTGCAAGAGGCTGAACAGGAGAAACCCGAAGTTGAGACCCCTGATGTTAATTGATTAATTAGCCATAGACTATTGGAGTTTGGTGTTGGTTCTTTGATTTATGGTCATTTTTTGTTTGTGGAGTTTC